AGTCACAGCTGTCTCAGCCTTTCCTCATAAGAGAGATGCTCCAGTCCCCCAGTCATCTTTGTTGCCCTCCACTGGACTCTCTCCAGCAGTTCCCTGTCTCTCTTGAACTGTGGAGCCCAGAACTGGACATTGGTATTCCAGATGTGGCTTCACTCAGGCAGAATAAAGGGAGAGGATGATCTACCTCAACCTACTCTTCCAAATCCCAAGACATCATTGGCCTTCTTGGCCACAAGGGCACACTGCTGGCTCATGGTTAACTTATTGTCTACGAGGACTCCAAGATCCTTCTCCTCAGAGCTGCTTCCAAGCAGGTCAACCCCTAACCTCTACCAATGCGTGGGGCTGTTTCCTCCTCAGGTTTAGGACCTTACATTTGCTGTTGTTGAACCTCATTAGGTTCCTCTCTGCCCAGCTCTCCAGCCTCTCCAGGTCATGCAGGGTGGCAGCACAGCCCTCTGGTGGCAGCACACCCCTCCCAGTTTGGTATCATCAGCAAACTTGCTGCGGATACACTTTGTCCTCTCGTCCAGGTCATTGATGAATATGTTGAACAAGATCATACCCAGTACTGACCCCTGGGGACACTGCTGGTTGCAGGTCTCCATACTTGACCCTGCACAATTGATCATGACCCTCTGAGCTCTTTCACTCAATCAGCTCTCAATCCACTTCACTGTCCACTTGTCTAACCCACACTTCCTGCATTTCTTAAGGAGAATATTGCAGGAGACAGTGTCAAAAGCATTGCTGAAGTCAAGGTAGATAACATCCACTGCTCTCACCTTATCTAATCAGACAGTTATGATATCATAGAAAGCTATCAGATTGGTCAAGCATGATTTCCTTTTGGTGAATCCATGTTGACCACTCACAATAACTGTCTTGTCTTCCATATATTTGGAGATATCCAAAAAGATTTGTTCTATCACCTTTCCAGAGACAGAGGTGAGACTAACCAGCCAGTAGTTTCCTGGATCATCCTTCTTGCCCTGTTTGAAGACTGGAGTGACATTGGCCTTCCTCCAGTCCTCAGACACTTCTTCTGTTCTCCATGACTTTTCAAAGATGATGGAAAGCAGCCTAGTGAAAATGTCTGCCAGCTCTCTCAGCACACTATTTCTTTCAAGGAATGGATTGATCCTGCAGTAAAATTAAAAATACTAGCAACTTTCATGTATCTGAAGATTGCATGGATTTGTATGGAGATTGCAGTGATTTCACGTTAAACGCTTAGGTCAGTGGTACAGACTGCAGAGATGGAAGAATCTGCAATCCTTCCATTAGGAGTGTGTCAGAAACCTCCCTGTGCTCTGAGCACAGAAAGAAAAAAAAGCTTCCTAAAGTTCAGAAGTGATCAGGACCTCCACATTCTCTTCCACTTCTGCAGATACCTGATGATAGTTCTTTTTCCAAATTCATGGTTCAGGGCACTGATGTTGCTTTTTCTCTAAATTCTTTCATGAAGCCTTCAGTAACTAACCACGTTTGGAGTTGCTGTGGTTATGTTATAACATCACACAATACATTTCTTTTTTTAAATTGAACAGTCTTAATTTTTAGAATCAACTTTGGAACCAAGTATTTTCTGGTTAATGTAGAAGCTGCTTTCTGGAAACAATTTCTATTATGAATCTTAAAATTCTCACATCTCAAATTCTTCTTAGTAAACTCATTTACCAAGAGCAAAAATAGATGGGCCTTGAGCACACTAAAATCTAGTTTTCTCATCAAAGAGCAGGGACACTCAAGCAGATGAAGAGCCTATCTGGCTCATTCTCTTATTTCCAGCAGTCACCAGTCATAGGTGTGTAGGAAAAGAGTGTCGGGCACCTATCTGCGAAGTAATTCTTCTTCCAACAATGAGTAGCTGAGGGACCTGTCCTCTTGGACCAAGTTTGTACCTATCTGCTCTTTTGTTCAGAACAGAATGTCCTCTTTTTTTCAGATCATCTGCTAATATAGTGACCAGCACAGATGCTCATAGCACTCCTCTCAAACTATTTTGAACATATGTAATTTGTTCCTATGTCCTTTTCTTAGAGCTAATCAGTTATTAATTTACAAAAGGACATTCGTTCTTGTCCCATGATGACTTCAAGTTAATAACATTGGCAAAGAATTTCATCAAATGTGTTACACAGAAATAAACATAGTATGTCAAGCATAATTACTAGCCTTCTGAATTTCAAAAAAGACTCTAATTAGACTAAGAAATTTTTATTATTTTGATTTTCTAAAAGAAAGAGGAAAAACCAAGTACATTGGCTCTTCTCCTTTACATCGTATGCTTATTCATTTTCTCTTATTCATTCATGTTGTGGTCAAGACAAGTTTTCTTCATAGATGTGCTAGAATGACTCTTTATGCAGATACCTGTAGATCATCCTTTGAAAAAAAAAAGGATTTGGCACTTGCCACACCTATTCTTCCTGTGCTATGGCCACTGTAAGTGATAACCTATCCATCAAAGCTGATTGTTTGGCAATTCCTAGTCTAAGTTCCTTTAAAATGCCTGAGAGAATATTATCTGGCCCTTACGTTTGTCACAGTTAATCATATTAATTTCTTCTAAAGTACCTGCTACTGACACTGAATTTGAAACATTTCCTGGGATTTACCTCCCATAAGAAAAATCTCCAGTATAAGAATTTCCCAAACTCTTCCAAAGAAAAGTATTATCTTATTTTTATGCCTTAGAGATCCTCCTCCTCTAGTGTATTTGGGAAAAATAAAAAGTTTTATTATTAGTTCTTATGCACTTGGCCCTCAAAGTCTTTGTGGGCTTGCTACATATAGTTCATATTTAACTTGGTAGAGTTCATCCTTATTTCATCTTCTCAAATAACTCCCTTCTGTAGAATTTTTTCCTGTTGTTTAACTGGGCCTTTAAAAAAGGCTACAGTTTTTATAGCATATCATCAGCACCTACAGAACTTTCTATGGATTATTACTGAAAACAGAGCTGGAAAACAGTAAGGCAATAACTGCTGGGTATGAGATCTGCCCAGCAGATACATCCTGCAATATGAGTATGCATAGGATCAGAAACTTCATTCTGTTGCTGTGCAGTTCATTCCCAGCAGCATTAATGGAAACTCAGTTGTGAAGTGACAAGGACCTACCAGCAACTTCAGACTGAGCATGTTCCTCTCAAATTTCTGAGGGGCCTCTTCCCCTGCAAAATCATACCAGACAGTGGTGGAAGACCATTTGCACTGTGCCTTTGTATAAATACTCCTTCCTATGGAGCTTCATTTTTAGGGCATGATTACATCGGTACCTCTCCCTCAGGTAGAAGAGTGTTCTGTTCAGAAAGAATCACCTGAACCCTTTTCCCTCTTAGAAGCAGTCCTAAAAGGACAGTGAGCAGCCCTGTCCAGACTTCAAGGTCAGATGCCAGCAGTGCAAGAAGGTCAGCAGTTATGATAGAAAATACAATTGCCTCTACAGCCATGACTGATGGGTTACATTTGACAGCTCTCTGCTTTGTGACACCATTAGACACAGCGAGTGTGAAAATTAGCTTCAGTGACTCCAGCCTCTTGTTACAGCTTTCTCTAATGTGCCATGGTAGAGAGGTTGAGAGAGCTGAACTCTGCTGAAACTTGAAAGAGCCCAATATTGAAGAAGACATAACAGTGATGCTTCTCATTTCACGCTGACCAGGCATCCTCTCCATTCAGATGATACATCTGAAGCAGTGGTGGTGGCTGATGCTTAGTTCAGCAGAAGCAGAAGCTGTCATGCTTCTCATGTACCTCAGAGCTATCTATGATCAGCTCAGGAAGTCTGCCTCAAGTGCTCCCTCAGACAACTAACAAAAATGTGGCTGCTTAATGATAGCAGCCCTCTAATTAAGGTGGCATGGTCTAAGCTCAGAAATAACTTTAATCAAGACAACTATCTAATTAAAACACACACTTTACAAATGAGCTCACTTAGACATAAAAGAATTTAAGTGAGTGGTTTGAAGGCAAAAATTGTTTACAGAAATTGGCAGGAGCAGGTACCAGCAGACCCAGATTGCCAGTCCTCTGCTGTATCCTCTCCAGTGTGATACATTCATTTTTTGCCTTTCAAAAAACTACTAATTTCTGCAAACACAAGAGATTCAGGAGAAAAAGGGCAGTCCCTCAGTGATTTTTGATGCACCTGTTCTTGGACACCAAGACAACAGAGGCTTTTTTCAGCTGCCTTCTGGACCCTGAGAGAACAGAACAAGAAGGCTGATTTAACTTGCAAAGCTAATAAAAGCAAGGAGAAGTTTGAGGGTAAAGAAACACTGCTGCACACAGAAATATTGGCATAGACTTTTAAAGCCAGTTAGACTTTTCCTATGCAAAGTCTCATTAAAGCAAATAGTAATGAACATCCAAATCCATATGCATCTTTGAAAAATGCAGTGCGCTTAGCTCATAGGCTTCTAAACCAAGATTCATGCTCTCTAAAAACAACCAGTAACTAAAATTGGCATAAGACTAGTTGTACTGTACATACCAAATAATTTAATCAAACTATTCAGGTAACAATTTTAAGTTAACTAGAGATAACACTCCTTGTCCTTGGAGGTATTGAACAAATCCACTGGACATCACTTAGGATTTTTGGTCTGTATCAGGGTCTCCCCTAGTCATGTTCATTGCTGCATGTTTACTAACACTAGAGCACTGAGTTGCAATACTTAAAGAGTTACAGAATATTTATGGAGGCATATGTACACGTTTTTACTATAGAAGTGACTGAAGCTAACATTTGGATGGACAGAGTACACACACAAGTGGTCACTGCAACTCAGCTGACACACAGTAACTTGTTAAGCAATCTGTGGGAGCCCTTGCTTTTCCAGCACTGTCACTTTAGATGTTCTGCAACTGAATTACCAGGTCTGAGCTTTTGCTTGTCAGTCACAAACACAAAAACTGTACAAATACAATCCGAAGCTTCATATATACATTTCTCATACAGGTGCTAAGGAGGCTCAGAAGTCAGATACTCACTGATCTGGTTGGTAGATGCACTATAAAAAGCATTTACAGTAGTTGGGCTTGTAAACCACCTGTAGTAAGAGCAAAAGAAATCAGGGTCAGTACACTTGCACGTCTTTATTAATGCAATGAGCAAAGATAAAAGATTGAACTCAGTGGAAAGAAGCAAAACTGGGAAAGTCCTTGGGTATTAAAGTTTAAGTATTTCTTCATTCCAACACATGCCACCTACACTTTCTAGAACACTGAAACCTATTGCTTAATGGCTTAAAGTGCATACATCAATAAATGCTTAACAGGAGCAATCGTTAAGCTTCCTGTTACCTAATCTATTTTATTTCTAAGTGACTGTTGTGCTTGTGAGGTCTGCCATGCTGATGAACTGATGTTCACCCAACAGAAGCTGCAATATTGATAGCAGGTCTGAAAACCCTCTTAATTGTCTTCCAACCAAGTGTGGAAAAACTCCATCTTGAAATTAGAGAGCATTTTGAAACTAATTAATTGCCTTCAGACGTTTTGCTGAGCAACTACTTGAACAATTAGGATGTTGCCAGCAGCACGGGCAGGTGCTTTCTGGGAACCTAAATTCAATGTAAAAAGCTTCATGTTCTGTGCCCTACACAATGAACGTGGCCACCAGTGTGCTCATAAACAAATGGACTTCTTGCAAGGCATAACAAATTTTGAAAGGAATATTAGTATTTCTTCTTGTAGTTAGATTTCTCCTACTGGAAGGAAACCTAGATTTGAATAACAAATAGGATTAATTAATTTCCTTAGTCTAAGCCCATCTGTATTGACAGTGATTTAACCCAGATGAGTGGAAAATCTCAACTGGCTTCAGCAAAATCCACATCTCGTGAGATGAAACTTTGAGTTCAGTGAGTCCAAGATGAGTCCAGATGAAACTTTGAGTTCAGTGAGTCCAAGATTTCATTTTATGATAAGGAAGAACTGAGATAAAATAAAAGCAATAAATATGAGGATAATTAATGATTATTTCATAATTAATTAGAATAAGTTCTAGTAAATGTCCAAACAGAAACATCCTGGTATCTTTAGCAATGCATTACATGGAAGTTCTGTAAAGTCAAATGAATGCAATGCAAATACTTGGGAATTTTTTTCTAAGAGAAAAGATGGAAACTGCAAAACAAAGAGTAGAGCAAAGGAAGATATATTGGAACATGGAAAATGTGTAGTGTCAGTGATTTTCACAGGTATAACCTGTGCTTTAATATAGCACCATCAAATGAAAGAGTTATCCACAGTTCCTGTCTTTTCTTGCAAGTGGGGTCCTCAAATGTGACAAAGGGGAGAGGTATAAAATGGCAGAATTCTGTCTTTTATCAATAAACGTGTTTCTCTCATCTTCAAAGCTGAGCAACTTATTTTACAATGCAGCAACTAGAAAAAATAACCAATGAAAGCACAGTGTGTTGTCATGTAAATATCTTAACCATCCATTACATTATAGGCTCTAATTGCCACAGGTAACTGTTTTGTTCACTAGGAGATTCTGAAGGGGAGGAACCAGGGGAGGTTGTTTTCTGGTGTGTTTTCTGTTTCCTCTATAACAAAGAGATTACATGTACTGAGATACCAAAAAACTGAAGAAAGAACACTTATGGTGAGGGGATAAAGAAAAAATTAGGGGGCTTAATTAACTGAATTTCAATTTCATGTTTGTTTACAGCAATAATCAGCTGAAGTGTTTTGAAGGATGCAAGCCAGCCACTTATGAGGAGGGACCTGCTCTCCAGGCTTAGCAGGATCTCTGGAGGGCTCCATCCTTTTTTTTTTTTTGGCAAGGAGATCACCCACCCAAAAGAGACCCATCTGAAACATTCCACATTTCAATTTGGATTTTACTGTAAGTTTGAACAAAAATACATAGCATTGTGACTTCCATCTCACCCCGTGGACTTGTTCTACTTAAAGCAGTCTTTCTGTTCTTTCTAACAGCATCTTTTAAGTATGAAAAAGGCTTCCAGGACAACAAATCCTCCCTGTTTACAAATCCTTCTTAGAGCAAATGTCTTACAGGCCTTCTCATTTCCAGCCACAGGATCAAGGGCCTGAGACAGGTAACAGACACTTCAAAACAGACAAATATGCTTTGCTCTTTCCCCCATCCTCTGCTGCTGCAGACCTAGGGGCTCACCAAAGCTGTTCCAAGATAGGAACCACCTTGAGTAGTGGGTAAAGATCTCCCCACTGACAAGCAACACCTCTCTAACAGTATAAGTTTGCACCCATTTTTATCAGGTGAGGAGCTAACGAGTGATGCATGTGCTTGCCACCACAGGAGCACCTCACTCTGCCCAAGAAAAACTGCAAGTATTGCTGTCATTTGGTCCACAGCTACCAAGGGAGGACACCAAACCACTGCTGGCCAGGTTTTTATACCTATGAACTCACAGACACCTAGCTCATAAACCAGCTGCTAGGACACATCACAGCATCCCTGTCCTAAGACTGCTTCTTTCTTGATGATCTACCACTGCAGTAACAGTGCCCACTCTGTTTCCTGAGCTTAGTATGAGCCAAAGACTGAAAGCAGCCCTGATTTTCTCACCCTAAAATTGAATTAAGTTCTTTCCAATTCACTGTTTCATAATGAGGCCTCTAGAATGACCCTGTATGAAGGGCTTTTTTTGTTGTTGTTATTTTTAACAGGTAGGAAGAGGAGACTTAGCAGCTGTACAAAGGAGACAGGCAGAAAAGAGTTCTTTAGTGACAAGCAGAGTATGCCACTGGATTTCATATTTGACATTTAGACACTCAGCAAGGAGCATATTTACACTTTAACATTTTGTTGTACCATTCTGAGCCACACTCAAGAAGATTTAGGAACCATTTTCCACAAAAGAACAGAAATAACAGAGGCTGCTTCCATTCAGACTAACAGAACAACTTCATCTCTCATCTGTCACCCTCTTTAACTGAGCTCCTTCAAATGACTGAGCCTTCAGTGACAGACCTTAGCCAATAAAACATCAAATTACTATATGAAGGTCTGTAATAAATAGCTGTCACTGTTAAAATCTGAAGTGAAGAAAATTTAGAAATAGCTCTCATTCCCATGTGCAGTCAGGTTGCCTGGGAATTTGCTCGAGGTCTGGTGGTCTGCTTACTATTTCAGTGCATTTCATCTATTAGAAGAAGGAAGAAAAGAAAAAGGAAAAAAAAAAAAAATAAAAAAGGACCAACATAACAAAATCTAAACTCTTATTAGTCACTGAATCACAGAGTCGTCGTGGTTGGAAAGGACCTCTAAGAACACAACCAACAACATAAAATAAAACAAAAAATACCCAAACAACCACAACCCCGGCCACTAGAGAATGTCCTGAAGTGCCACATCTACACGTTTCTTGATACCTCCAAGGATGGTGACTCAACTACCTTCCTGGACAGGCTGTTCCAGTGCTATGAGCAGGGACAGCTCACACTAAACCAGGTTGCACAAAGCCTCATCCAACCTGGCCTTAAACACCTCCAGGAATGGGACTTCCACAGCCTCTGTAAGGCAGATAAGTGTCAGGCAGGAAGGGAGAAAAACAGAGGGCAAAGAATGTTGAAAATTACTGCTGCTTTGGCGGATTTTCTTCCACTTTGTAGATTACAAAACTGTTGAATTTCCAGAATAAGTTATTTCCACTTTGATAGCTACATTCCTTATTACTTTATCACACTTCTTTGTCTTGTACCTCCCAACTCCTCTGTCTGTTCCCTGATGGTGTTTCCTTGGTGCTTTGAGTGAACCATCATTTTGATTTCCATTAAGTTGTGTATGGTGAGGAAAGTGAGTCAAGTTTTAAATAATATTGCTGTGAAATTTGGAATATTTGCTAAGTAAATATAGTGGTTTACCTATTGGGTTTAATATTACTTTACTAGGTGTAACATTTCTTTAAACACTCGTTGTCCTATTTATCTTTATCAGTCCATAACTTCAACCACCTTAGTCTTTTTCTCTAGATACAAATGTCCTAAAAGCTACTGAACTAGAGAAAAGAAAAAAATGAAGGAAGCAGAAGAAAACCCCAAGGCTAATTCTCTGTTAACACAGCACTCAGCTTTATTGTAGACCAAAGACCTATGGAGTTCTATGAAAGAGAAGAACCTGTAAAAAGCAGAAATAAGGAGGGGTGAAAGGAGGGAAAGTGGGATGGAAAAGGGAAAAGGCAAAAAAAGGGGAAATGGAAGTAAAATCATCAGAAAGCAGTAGAGTCCTACAGTTAAAATGTGGCTAGTGTTGTTTTTTTTAAGGCCAGATTTTGCATACCTTAGACTGGTGAGTAGTTTATTATAATAATTTTTTTAAAAAATAATAATAATAATCTTGGAGGTAGCAATGACTCTCTGTGCTTTAGTACCTCTCAGCCAACAGAGGGAAAGTGGACAGTGTATGGGACACCACTTTCAGATCCCTTTCCTGTCGCTGAGCAGGTGCAAAGGCAGAAGAGTCTCCCAGCA